TGTGTGTGTGTGTGTGTGTGTGTGTGTGTGTGTGTGTATATATATGTGTGTGTGTGTGTATATGTGTATGTATGTGTGTATATATGTATATGTATGTATGTTTGTATATATGTGTATATGTGTATATGTATGTATATATGTATATTCATTCACAGATGAAATAAAAAAACTTAGGAAACTCAGAAAGATGATCCTGGCAAAACCTTTGTTTCCACTGTGACAAGTCCTACACACAGGAGAGAAAACTATTGAGATCAGAGATGTTTTGGCTTCCACAGAAGACACATGTGCACATGTTGAAATGTAACGATGACCATCGCATGTCTGTCTGCAGAAAGACTGCCCAACGTTTACAGAATACATGTGCCGTGGTTTCGAGAGGACTCTTTAACCATAGCCAGGTCAGTTATGTCACTGTCTGTTCTTTCTTGTTCTGGCAGCTTTACGTGTCATATTCACGGTTTCTGTCTTGACTTGATGTGATCTGTCTGCCAGTGTGCCGTCAGTGACTGAGATCTCAGGGATGCTCCACACAAGTCGTCCAGAAAACGCCTCAGGTGTCCTCCTTCAGCTCCACACTGCCCCCAACTGCCAATATAAGGTACTGCTCCTCAGAGCCACAACCTGTTGACAATTCATCCTGACAAACATGGTTTTTATCATCAAAAAGGAGTTTAAAGTATGACGTTAATTCAAATATGTTTTTACCTTGTGACTATAACCTCAGGTGTCAGTGAGGACTTCATTACCCAGGGTGCTGGGACAGGTACACATTTCTTGTCTTTTCTGTTTTAGTTTTTGCTTAAATGAAAACAGTCCTACGTGTATTGTTCTTCTGACCTGCTCTCTCTTATCTGACAGATACTGAGGTTCTGTGGTCCCATGGTGCCGGTGTACACAGCTGTGACCCTGCTCCAGGCCTGTGGCGGGCAGCTGTCCACCATCCTGAAGTCAAGGCGAGCTGCAGACATGAGCCAGGTGGTGGCCAAGGGCCTGCAGCCTCATAAAGTCAATCTGCCCGTGTATATTCTGCACATCTTACTTGGGTAGGCTTTGTAAGATTGATGTTGAAGTTAATGAGAGCAATCAATCTGGACCTTTTAGACAAAAATAACACAATATCAAATGTATCAATATCAAGAATATATGAGAATATTCTCATTTGATACCTGAATATCAAATGAGAATATTCAGGTACATTAAGATACCTGAATATTCTCAAAAACATTTTACTCCTCCTTCCTCCCCTCAGCTGCAGCTGGTTTCAAGAGGTCTGGTCATTTCTTTACCTCCCTGCTATGGATGCCCTCCCCCCAACCCACCCTGATGGTGGATCTCCTGAGGGTGTGGCATCAGTTGAAGAATGGCCCCTCCTGCTGTCCCCTCTACTGTACATCTTGGGGGCAGCCGTGGCGTACTGGGGCAGCACCCTGCTTCGTCTCATCATGCGACTGATCTCGCTAATAATAGCTCCACTCCACAGGTATGGCTGGACATTTAAACATGGAGGTATGGGATTTGAATCTGTAACAGGATTGTCTCCAGGCTCTGTGAATATATATTAACACAGCCATTCTTAAGTGTCTCATACAATGTTTTAACTGTAAACCTCCTTTTCTATGCAGACCATCTGTCTCTAGAGACTGTGGCACCCTGCGACTCTGGACCCAGCTCCTCGTCGCCCTGAGTCTGACTGTTATGGGAGGAGTGTTCTGTGGGGCGTTGGCGATCTTTGCTGCCTTTCTGCTCCACCTTTACAGGGTGAGTCTCAGCACATGGACATACAGATGAAGCCCTTCCCAGTCTTTAACGGAGTAGCATCAAAAATCAAACCAGAGACTCTGTTTATCCCCTTCTCGACATCCATCCATCTTTGTTTGCATTTTCAGTTACTGAGGCTCCAGATGACAGAAAGATCCTTGAGTCACATGTTGAATCTGGTAAGATTTCCACGTTGAACTGTATTGCTCCAATCTCATCAGCCAGCAACAGGGGGTCAGTTTGATGGTATTGGGGTTGCTTGTGATTTGAATGCAGAGCCAGGGTTTCAGAATCTGTTACAATATTACAATTTCATTATTTTCAAATTACAGTTGGATATAAATCAAGTTTTTCCGCCATCTTTCCAGGCACCCCGGAAGCAAAGAGAAGCCGAGAACGGCACAGTCAATGCAGAATCCCTGAGCAAGTCTAAAGAATGCAATGGCGCCCCCCTGCTGTCTGAATGTGCTCTGCAGGAGGTGAGGGACGACTTGCAGCTCCACCTCTGCCTGTCGGCCCTCTTCACGCTACCCGTCATGCTCATCGCCCCGTCACTCCTCCACTGGACCCGCAACCTGAGGTACAGTATGAAAACGGAAGGAGAGCACGAGGGTGTCATTGAGCAAGACACCCACGGCTGTGTTTATTAGGAAGTGTGTTGTATCTGTGCCTCACTCTGGACATTTTTGACTTTTGATTTTAATTTAAAATTAGTTTGATCATTTTGGCTGTGTTAATACATATGGCATACATTGTGGAAGGGTGTGAGGTTTTATTTTAAATTTTTGATGTTGAACCTCCAATCCTATAATTAGTCTTTAATTCAATTTTGGTTTTGGTTTATACTCTGGCGTGAGCGCCAGAAAACGACGTAATCACAGCCGACGCTTGGTCATGCACCTCTGACATTTTGTAACTCACTGTCACAAATAGTTCACTGATAAAAGCACTGTTTACATGTCTGGGGATTATACAAAGAAGGCCTTTCATTTTTAAATGCTTTAGAAACCGGAGGTGTTAAAAGTCTTCATTTGAGTAAGTTATTTTGCAGCCAAATCAAATTGTTTACAGGATGTTAAACCTTTGTTTCTTTCGAATGCATGTGACAATTGAGCTGTTTCTTTACTGGGCTTGTACAAAGGAAATACAGTCATGAATATGAGATATGAGTTTACAGATAATTACAATCCCCCTTCGGCATTGTGGAGGTTGATTTATGGCTTTTGCCCAGGTACACCCATAGTGTGTATATAAGAAATGGACATAGTTGTCGTGACATCACCCATTGGTTCGTGGACTGCCATTTTGAAGCCGCAAGTTCGGCGTTTTGGCCATCGCCATCTTGGCTTTTTTTTTTTTTTTTTGCAACCAATGAACTGAAGTGACCGGGTTTGGATGGCGGAGGAGTAACATAGAGATGCCAATCACAAGTTAGCTCCGCCCTAAAACAAACTCTGCTTTATGGTCTATTTTACTCTGAATGGACCATAATGTACGAAATGAACATCATGCTGTATTAAAGAAGACTTGAAACTAGAGATTGAGACCATGAACTCATGTTTACAATGTCTACTGAGGTAATATATCAAGCGAGAAGTAGAGTCATTTTCTCATGGACTTCCATGCAATCAGCCTCCGTACATGTTCGGAGCTCGTGCACCATGCAATATAAGTATATCAATTTTTTTTTTAATAATCATTGAATCTGAAAAGGAATACATATTTGGTTATTAGGATCAGGACTGAAGTTATTCATGAAAAACTATAACAAATAATATTAATATTTAATACATTTATAGCAGATTTAGACGGGGGACATTTCTTTCCTTTAAGGTAACACGTAGGAGTTGAGGTTAAAGACAGAATAAAAATGCATCAAAATCAATGTTGTTGCTAATGATTGACATAACCCAAAATCATCCTACCATTAATTATACAGAAAATAATGAATTATTAGGCATTATGTAACAAACTGGCATTTAATGGGTCAAGATTGTGAAAATGAATGCGTATTTGGTAGTTATGATCAGGACTGAAGTTGGTTAAAAGCTTTAACTCATTGAGAGTTGAAAATAATATTAATATATAACTTCATTGCAGTTTTTTTGACATGGACATTTTTGTCCTCTGTGGACATCAGAGCAATGTTTTGAAGCTGTCGGAATCCATGGCTCTGAAAACTCTGTAGCCTAATTGTGCTTTGTATTGACAAATCCATGGCGCTGTCCCTGTTGCTGATGTAGCAGAGTCCCTTCGCTAAGTCCCGCCCCTCGAACGCAGACTGGCCAATCATAGCGTAGCATCAGCCAGCTCCGACCAGGGTCTGACACTATCTGGCTCTGCTCCACAGACTCTCATGCAATAGTTTCAGATTTTCTTTCAGCTTGTCGTAGTTAAACGTTGTGTAATACTGTTACTCGTTGCTCAGAGAGCTTGGAAGGAGATGAACGTTTCTATGTAAAAACCTGTGAGCTAACATAAGTAGAGTACGTTAGCCCATCATTTACTAGTGTTAGCACTTCTACGTTATGCTAGCTACTGAAAGTATTCTGAATGTCTACACATGCTGCTTTTGCTTTTTAATGATCGTAACAGAAAACAGAGACCTTCCCGCCTTTACAGTGTTATTACTATTTTTCCTGTAACGTTTTATGACAATATGGCAAATGTCTGCTGTTATACATAAAGTAATACTCTGTGTTTGATAAATAAGGTGCGGAGGTGTACATGGGTAAAAGTAATGGGTGTTGGTTGTGATCCTCTGCAGGTATTCCACCCAGCTGGATCCTGACCCTTGTTGGCCATGCAGCGTGCCTCTAATCATTGTGTACATCCTGCTTATTAACTGCAACACTGTAATACTCAGCAACAGGTAAGAGCACTTTGTCACCAACACACACACACACACACGTTCCCTATTCCATTTGTTATCCTGTCAGAGTTGAGGGGAGTTCTGCTGCAGCACCCCCTTAACCCTAACCCGTCTCTTTCAGTAAACTCCTGCCTCTGACGGCCTGCCTCCTCCTCCCCTTGTCCATCGCCATGGTGACCTTCTCTCCACTCCACCTCTACAGAGTCACCTACTTCCTGTTGGCGACACTCGTCCCTCTGGCCCTGTGTTGCCTGCTCTGACGGTACCCGTCCCGTTTCAGTCCACATCCCTACCATAACAAGCCTTTCTCTAAATTGCAGCCCGACTCACTGAAGCTGCTCCAGACCGTTTTGTTCCAGGAAGATGCACTCTATCTCGCTGCCGTGGAGCAGAGCCATAGACATACATAGCTTGGGGAACTGTGCGCTCGATGTTGGCACTAAAAGCTCCTTGGCAATTACACTATATTTTCGAATGAGAGGATGTAATGGCCTTGGACCATTTGGTGTGAATATGGCTCTGAAGGATTGACCTGAAACCAAGTTTGCCTTACTCTGTATATCTATAGCTCTGCCTTCAAGGAGCAACTACTCCACAACCAGTGAAGCTACTGATACTAGAGGTTATTAACAGGGTGTCACTGTTAAAATGTGCTCTTGTTGTTTCCAGCGTCTATAGTGGCGTTGTTCACTGCGGTCACTGTGCTGTAAACTCCTTCACTGCCTACTGCTTAGAGATGACTTCTAGCTGTGTGTTAGGGTTACCTTTGACTGCCGAAGCACTGACACAAAACCAGTGGCAGTGTCACACATTCGCTCCACGAGAAAAATCCAAAGTTATCATGTTTACACTTTCTCCCATATTCACCTTTTTGATACAGAACAATGACCAAGGCAGCGAATTAAAGGTTTGCACCGGACAAGGCTGTAGTGCATGTGAAGGCTTTAATCTGTTACGCATTTTTCAGGAGAAGACAGTTATCATCTACTCCACCTTCTCTAAAATACAGTGGTGTAGCCAAACACATTTGGAAAGGGGTGGCCAGGCTGCAAGCTGTGTTCACTTTGGGGTGGCACATAAATCTGTGTCTTGTTTATTTAAGTTGTTTTTCTACGTGGCGCTTCGCCTTCATGTAGGGCTGCACCGAATAGTTGGAAGCTTCACACATACCGTTCACATTTGAATTTAAGTTAACATTCAAATGCGTTCTTTTTTTTTTTTTTTTTTTTGCACGACTATCGATTCTGTTTAAACCCGGTATGTCTGCACGGTTGTAAAGATTAGGCTCCGCTAATATTATTTTTTATATATATATATATATATATATATATATATGCTATTTGTATAATTAGATGCCAGTGGTGGCTGCGTGTGATTGTTTCTGACTCGTGCCATCTGAACATTTCCAATAACTCAGAGCGTTGTAAAGTCCATACGTCAAAGTTTCTTGAAAAAAAGATAGATGTCATCATTTCCAAATTTCAACACAAATCTTCTGCTTCAGTCCATATTTGTTGGTGTTCAGCCTTTCAAGAACATTTTCGCGGCCGTCAGAAAAACGGTTTGCTCTCTTGCTGCACACAAAGCACCAGTATTTATTGGGGCGGCCTAGCAGCAATCTAACAGCACCATAATTATATTTATACAACCACAATAACAACTTTTTATTTTTCTCTTTTTTAAGGTGATGATGTCATAAAATATGAGGACAAGCAATTGAAGCTTTATTCTAAAACGTTTGAATGTAACAAAAACAAAAAGTTGGGTACAGCCCTACCTTCGGGTCACTTTCCTTCTCTCAATAAGAGAGCGACTGTTAAAAGAGCAGCAGGCTAAGGGCGTGTCTAAAGTAAGCGCCTAATAGTCTTCTTGTCAGAAATGATAGTGATTTATTTTCACGCTTGTAAGAAATGAGCCAAGAACTGAAGGGTAGAGAGCAAATAAGGATTTTAGATCGTTCTGAAATTCCTATGATGTGCGTGTGCAAAAACCTCGTCTCTCCATCGAAACCAGTCCAACTCAGAGTTCTCTTGATAAATTCATGCCGCTGTGTATTGTCACAGCACTGCCTCTAACATTAGAATTCCACAGTTTCTCTTTAACAGAGTTACTGTTCTCACTCTGCTGTTCGGTTTAAAGCTACCGTCAATTAACCCCCCCCCCCACACACACACACACATTTATTTATGGTTTATCGTGTACAGCATTGAATTAGAGTAAATGTAATGAAGCTGATCAACCGGAACAGACCAAAGTAAAAACATCTACAGCTCATTCTGAATTGACAAAATATTTGATTGCAAAAGTATTAACACCCGTCAAGTTAATAGCAGAGGACCTGTGGAAGCAGTCTGAGTGGGTTTACACTAGTGTCCTCGTGTTCATGTAACAATCGGGTTGTTAGATTTTATATTTTACATATCCAGGTTTACAAAATCTGAACAACATGAAAAGTTGGATTTGTTTTTACTGAAACAGAGTATTTTTCTGTTGATCAGTTTAAAAATATCACAATTAACTGAATACTTAATGGATCCCCGCCACAGTGCTTGATCCAGCAAC